CATACAGGTTTGGAACAACTTGAGGGTGAGTAAATATGGAATACAAAATACAGTTTATTGTCTGGTAATGGTTATTTATAGTTGGTACATTTTCCCATTTCACTCGCCATTGGCATTAACATCAAAAGTACATTTTGGACTCTGACTGTAATGCAAGTTTGTTTATAGCTGAATGATTTTGTGCTTTGCATGCAGGTTGGGTTTTCTGGGTCTGATGGCCTATATAATGACTGACTCAATAGAACAGCTGCTTCAACTGAAAGAGTAGCAAAAGATGGGGGATGGAGGGATTGAAGAGAGAGGAAATGTAAAGAAATGAGTGAAAAAAGATAGGTGGCATGAGATAAAAGGAAGGAAAGTGAAGGGCAAGAGTGTGGGCAATAAGAAGGAGAGGCTAAACAGTTGAAAGATAAAAGTTTTAAGAGGTTAAAGAAGGTTGTTAATAATTCATGTACATTGTCTTAGCAACAGTGATTCAGAACAAATGTAAATGTGGTCTGCTCTTTATACACACTCACACACATACATCAGCTGTCTCATTCAGCACTCAAGTGTTTCCGGAGGCTGAATATGTATGAGTCACGCTGGATGCGGCATTGTGTGAAACTAATGATTTTCAGTGACAGACGTGATTACGACTGTCCTCCGCTCATTTTGTAACTCCACTCGTCTGTTTTTCTCAGCTTCACACCTTCTCATATTGAAAGGACTTTTATTCTTTGCTATTTATTAATTTAGTGGTTTGTCACATAACAGATCCAACAATAAACATGTTTTTTTCTGACCACAAAAATACATTTTAATTTAGAAATATATATTTTATGTGTCATAAAGTATATTTAATAAGCAGTTTACAAAAACTAAGGTATTACTAGATTTTATAATTAAAATGATAATTATTATAATTTTCAACCCATTGAACTGAAAATTCCATTCTTTGACCATAAAATAACACAGTTCATGATCTAAACAGATTTGAAAGAATAATTATTTAATAAAAAGTGACATGAGCAAATCAAGTTAATTTAAAATTTTCAATCATTGCCTTTTTCTTCCTGAACACATATATTGAATATTCTTAAAATTATGCATGAGAAATACGCACACGCACACACACAACTAATAATAATATTAATCATAATAATAATAATAATAATATAAACATATTAATTTATTTGTGAACAAGATATATACTGTTCAAAATTTGGGGTGGTAAGATTTTTTTTAAATATTAAAAAATAAGTTCTCTTATGTTCACCAAGACTGAATTTATTTGATAAAAAATACAGTAAAAACAGTAATATTGTGAAATATTATTACAATGTCAAATAACGGTTTTCTATTTTAATACATTTTAAAATTATGTTTATTTCTGTGACTGTCATTACTCCAGTCTTCAGTGTCACATGATTTTTCAGAATTTTAATAAGCTGATTTGGTGGTCTAGAAACATTTCTTATTGTTATCACTGTTAATAAGAGTTGTAATATTTTTTATGGAAACCATGATTTATTTGAAATCGAAATCTTTTGTAATGCCTTTACTGTCACTTTTGATCAATTTAATATCTCTTGATGGAAAAAAAGTAATATTTTTTATGAAAAATCTTCTGACCCCAAAATTTCAGAGAGTAGTGTACATATATTAGTAAATGAAAATAATTTCTAAAAAAAGAAGAAGCTCAAAACAGTTTTATTGCCAGTTAGAAGTATTTTGGGCTGGTAAATTTTCTTAGTTTAACGTGGCACACACATGTTGTAGAAGATTATGTATTTAACTATGGTTACACCTTAAACAGGTTTTAATTCATTACAGCACATGGAATTGGGTGCTTTCCATGTTTTTGTGCATTTTAGAAAAGTATTGTAATTTATTATAACTGGTTATATTCAAACATCTGATTGTAAGCTGTAATATGAATGCATTATACTGTATATAGGCTCTACATAAAGAGCTACTGCATCATTCTGATCCATAGTGACTTATTTTTATTAGAGGAACAGTCCCTCCAGAGGAATCAGGAGTAAGTGCTTTACTCACGGGCAGATTTGTGATGGGAACTCCAAGCTCTTTTCTCTTCTTATATTGTCCATTATGGGATTTGAGCCTTTGGGTTTACCAGCCTGGACATTTAACCTCTAAAATGCCTCCCTATCCCCAAAAAGCCAGATTTCATAAACATGAGCAACCATGATCACAATTAATCTACATATGATAACCCATATAATTAACGTATAAGTCTTAAAGGTACAGTCTTAAAGTTACACATTATAATGTGTAGAACGTGGATACTTAAAGGGGTCATATGATGCGATTTCAATTTTTCCTTTCTCTTTGGAGTGTTACAAGCTCTTCCAGACTGTTAATCAGGCAACATTAAAAGTCAAATGGTACTTGGATTGTCATTAACATTATGGTCTCAGTCAAATCGTGTTTTGAGTAAGAGCAGGATCTGTAATGCATAACACCTCCTAGGCAGATCTTACACTGGCATCAGCCCAGCCGAGTAATTGAATGTCATGTTAAACCAAGACGCTAATGCTAGCTCTTACAGAATGATATCCCCTCAGGCAGGGAGTATGGAGGGAAATCAAAAGGTTTAGCATGAATTTTTCCCTTTGAGCTAAACCGAGTCAGCATTAAACATCAATGAAGATTTCTGTTTCTCCACACACTGCTTACAGAGGTTCGTCCACAAGAAAAGAAAGAGAGATGTATGTGGGCATGTGAACATTTGTGTCTCCAACAATGTGTGCGTGAGTTTGTTTCTAAGTAGGTCGGCACTGTTCTCGTTAATGGCGCACACTAATGGAGACAGGCAGATTGACTTCAGGGACAAAAATGTGGACTCACAAGGTCATTTCCCTATAGTGTCTCCACGTGACTTTTGGATTATTATTGCTCTATGTGTTCACAGAACATTACCCCTTACTAACTGTTTAAAGAAACTTCAAGTTTAAACTCAACAGCTGGTTCAGTTTTAATGGAGACCACATTTTGCAAACTACAATGGTAACAAATGTAGATACATATGTTCAGATAGTCTCGGAAGGTTGGAAACACTTTTTAATTGGATTATTCAATACTGTTAAGCATCCCAGGATGCAGCTCATAAGGGTTGGTTGTTTGTATGTCCAGAGCTACACAAAAAACAAGTACTTAGAGAAAACTCAAATTTAAGTCTGTTTGTTCCTTTGTTGCTACATACCCATAGGCCTATTGGCATTTGTGTTGTTTCATTGTTGAAATTACAATGATAAAATGTAGAAATAGAAAAAAAATATTTTTGATTTTATTTTGTCTGATTTTTTGCTTGTGTTGGGTTGGATTGATTTTGTTTTGTTTTTTTTTGTTTTTTTGTCCCATATGCATTTGTGTGGTTTCATTGTTAAAATTACTATTACAAAGAAGTAGAAATAGAAAAAAAAAAAATAAGTTGATGTTTCTGTTTTTTGTTTTGTCTGGTTCTTATTTTGTTTGTGTTGGTTTTCTTTTGTTTCTTTTGTTTTGTTTTTTGTAAGCAGATAAAATCAAGGATCGTTTTTCCAAACATTCTCCTCTTTTTCATGCTGAACTGAAATCATCAGTATTTTCTAATGTACATCATAATGTACATAAACCATGTAAAATTCTTTAAGATTTCACTTGAAGCATGTCAGAGATTTAGAGCTTTGAAAACAGTATAATAACAGCCAACATACTTTTTAACAGCTTAAAACATAAAAACAGTTAATAGTTATCAGTATTGGTCAAATATTCATAGTATTTTTTTCAGTTCATATGAATTGGAAGCTAGTCAGATTTCTGGGAACCTTAATGAAGACATTTCAAGTAAACGGTTACAATGACATTTTAAAGTCTTTTTTTCTGCAGAATGTCTCATTTCTGTATTTCAGCTCCAGTTCAGATGTCTGTAATCTCTTATCTGTCTGTAATCCCTGACATCATATCAGCACCTTTAATGGACTGATGACTGTGATTTTAATGAATGTAAGGATTTGTGTTAAATCTGCATTGATATTCTGCCTGCGAGCTGCGTCACAGGTTTCTGTAGGTCACATTCAGTGAGAGGATCTGCATCAGCTACAGAATCTCTGATTCAGCCATGTATTAATGATAGATGCCTTTAAAAGCCACCCTGGAAAGAGTTTGACATTGAGCGAGAGAGAGAGAGAGAGTAACTTTTTTCCAGCCACTCTGATGAATAATTTCCCTCTATCTTTCTCTCGCAATTTTTCTCTCTGTCCCATTTGAATCCCTCCCACTTTACTCTTTCCACCCTCCATTCATCCATCATCTCTCCCGTTGCTCTCCAGAGGGAGAAATCTCCAAAGAGGTTTCTTTATCTGCTTTGCCTTAGATAATCCATCTTTATTCCTAACTGTGTGTGTTTTTGTGCAAGTATTTGGTAACTGTTCGCTGTGCGCTTAGGGGTTGTTTATTTAAAGGATTCAATGTGATTTTTCTGCGCTTTCTTTTTTCTTTTAGTCTGTCTCATATATACTCAGTGAAAGGACAGTGTACCTGAGATATAATTATTGACTGATAAAAACTACCAAGCAGTACCCTAGCAACACATTGCCAACCGCTCTTGCATTGCAACATAGTATTGCTGTGGCAAGTTTTGTACAATCAACACTCAGAATGTTAAATGAATGGCATTTATCGAAATCTCCAAAGAGGTTTCTTTATCTGCTTTGCCTTAGATAATCCATCTTTATTCCTAACTGTGTGTGTTTTTGTGCAAGTATTTGGTAACTGTTCGCTGTGCGCTTAGGGGTTGTTTATTTAAATTTTTCTTTTAGTCTGTCTCATATATACTCAGTGAAAGGACAGTGTGCCTGAGATATAATTATTGACTGATAAAAACTACCAAGCAGTACCCTAGCAACACATTGCCAACCGCTCTTGCATTGCAACATAGTATTGCTGTGGCAAGTTTTGTACAATCAACACTCAGAATGTTAAATGAATGGCATTTATCTCTCTTTGTTCTGCAGCAGCATCTCTGCTGCCTCACAGGTTTGTGACGGTACGCAGAGGCAGCCCGGCGGCATGCAGCGGTCAGATCAGGCCTGGAGATCGTCTGGAGGCCGTGGATGGGAGATCGGTGGTGAATTTACCTCACAGAGACCTGGCACAGATACTGAGGAGAGCTGGAAACACACTCCGCTTGACCATCGTGCCTCGCGCCAGTGCTCGTAAGTAGATTATTACATACACCTGAGCTGATCAGTTGTAATTTTTTTTTAAGAAATAGTATTATTTGTTTAAAAAATATATTCAATTCTATAAAAAGGAGCAATATAAAGCATTATAACAAAAACAACATTATAACTTAACTCAGGAACTCCGACTCAGGCAATCTTTTCTAATAGACAGCAAATTTTGTTTAGAAGAAGGTTGAAGGTTGGCAACACTTGACTTTTTTATTGGATGAGACGATCCAGATGATGGAGGGAAAAAAAGGCAACAAGTATTTAGCATAAATGTGAATTCCTTCAATCCTATCTATCTATCTATCTATCTATCTATCTATCTATCTATCTGTCTGTCTGTCTGTCTGTCTGTCATAATCCCCATACTTGCATTTGTGTAGTTTCATTGTTTATATAATGACTATTATAATAAAAAAATAGTAATAGAAAAAAATAAGCTAGTGTTATTTTTGTGTTTTGTTTGTCTGATTAGGCCAATGTTGAATACAATATAATTTCCCCAACATTCTCCTCTTTTGATAACTAAAGTTATCTATTTTTATCTATTTTTAATGTACATCATAATATTTCACTGGAAGCTTGTAAGCGATTTTAAGATTTTTAATAGCAGTCAGCATGCTGTTTAGTGGCATTAAATATAAAAAAAGATACATCAGTATATGGGCTGATCCTTTTTACTTGTTTAAAGAAATATTTTTTTTTACTTGTTTTTAAATGAGCCATAGACAACATTATAGCAAAAAGCATCCTAATATGCTTCTCTCATCAGATTCCTCAGAGCGAGCAGAAAATGACACTGATCATAAGAACAGGAAAGCTCACAGGTCAAAACCAAAGGTGAGCAATTAATTTACCCTTCAATATACGTAAGCTTTGTGGCAAAATAATGATAAAGAATAACTCTTTTCCTCTTTTCTTTTCTTTTTTCCCCTCTATGAAACACAAAGCAGGACGCCACGCGGTACTACAGTGTGGAACTGGAGAGGGGGCCCACTGGATTCGGCTTCAGTCTTAGAGGAGGGAGTGAATATAACATGGGCCTCTATGTGCTGGGACTGATGGAGGGAGGACCGGCCTCACGCAGCCACAAAATACAGGTGTACATGTGTGGCTTTGATCTAGATATACTTTTGGTGATAAACGTATACAAAAATGCCTGAAATAACACTTTTAGACAAGTGTAAAGGGACTAAATAATAAAAATGGAGGGTTTTTAGGTTAGGGTTTGTCTGTAGTAATTATAGTTAGCTCAAGAACAATAGAAGTCAAGAGGACGTCCTCTTATAGATATTAGCAGGTGTGTTAGAGGCTAAAAATGTTGCTTTTTTGGGACCTCAAGTGCTATACAGTCAGGGGCGCATTAATGCACGGGCTTCAAGGGGCTGAAGCCCAGGGGTCTACACTGGAAAGGGGGCCCACTGGCTGCAGGGAAATTATATTTTTTGAATAATTATTTATATGGGAGTTTGCAGCAGTGACAACAGCGTTCTGTAAACAAACTCACACACTCATTTTCAGTGACGCACTGGTTGTAGTAGCCTATATAGTGAATGGCTCAGTTTAGGTTCCCCCCACACAGTTTGTATAGTTGGTATGTTCCACGTGTTCCATCGATATACTGTAAGCGGAATGTACAATGCGTTCGCTAGTAAATAACCGCAGCACGAGAGTATGTTTATGTCAACACGCAGATTAACAGAAACACAACACTGCTGTGTGAATAGAAAACTGGACCGGACAACGTTCTGTAACGTCATACAGTGAGAGTTCAGTAACTTGCTTGGATGTAATCTGTGTGTTCGTGTAGTTTTTGATCTACTGATGATGAATAATTAATATTTTGTGTGATTTATGGTGTTTAAATCATACCTTAAATTCATACAAAGTTTTGATGGCATTTTCCTTTCATATTACCTCCGTATAATGCCCGTAATAACGTAGTGTTTACTTTATGTAACGGCTAAATAATTCTGCTGTTCCACAAGCGCCACCTTGTGGCAAAAAGTGAATTTGCATATTCGCTTATATTCACATTTTATGCAGAACAGTGTTGTGAATGTTAACTGGCATATTAACAAGACAAAAAACGAAATTTGACAAATAATTGTTAGGAAGCTTAAAAAAAGAAAAACAAAAGAGGTTTTCTGGGGTCGGGGGGCCTACTGTAATGCTGTAGCCCAGGGGCCTTTGGTTATCTTAAGGCGCCCCTGTATACAGTATAAATATTTTACCAGATTTTTATATTCTCTTCAGAAATAGTGAGTGATTCAAGCCTCACCTTCACATCTTTGAGATTTCTAAGCTATATTATCATAAACTACTGTTCAAAAGTTTGGGGTCTATAAGATTTTTTTAATGTTTGAAAGTGTTCTCACCAAGGCTGCATATTTGATAAAAAAAAAAAATACAGTAAAACAGTAATGTTGTTATAATTTTCAGCATCATTACTTCAGTGTCACATGATCCTTCAGAAATCATTCTAATATGCCGATTTGATCCTCAAGAAACATTTTTTTTATATCAATGTTTAAAACAGTTGTGCTGCTATTGATATAATATGATGTTTGTTCCCTGTAAAAATCATGTCAGTAAGACAGCTGTGGCTGATTTCTGTGGTAATTGTGTATGTTGCAGGTGAGTGATCAGTTGGTGGAGATCAATGGAGACGGTACAGCAGGAATGACTCACAGTCAGGCTGTGGAGCAGATCAGGACCGGAGGAAGCAGGATACACCTCGTGTTCAAAAGAGGAAATGGATACGTCCCTGACTACGGTAAGACAACAGGTCAGAGATCAGCTGAACATCACTTTATCATACATCATCTAAAACATGAGATGGTCATAATCGCATTGCTTCTAGGATCAGTTTGCTATAATGAATTCTATTATGGCTTATCAGATATCAAATAACATAATATGTTTATGTACAAGGCAATAAGCCATGTAAAGTTTTACGGAATAGTGGTTTAACCATGTGTCATTATGTGGCTTCTTTATTGCTTTTTCTTTGTAGATGTAGACTTGCATATAGAATGTGAACGAATTGAATGAATGGTGTGGTTAAAAGTGATTATATATTTATGGCTTCAAATGTGGCTCATCCAGTCAAATTGAGTCAGCTTTTAATATTTATAATGGTTGTTTTATCACTGCCGCTGTACAGATATTGAATATGTCATCAGTCTTTGGCTACTTATGAAAATGTATTTCTCTTGATCTATTAGCTTTCTAACAGCTGTTCTCTGCTTTCTTATTTGGACTTTTTCCTTTGATTTCATATCTTTGATATTCCTTATCCACTTTCATTAACATACTATTTTATGTTCACTTCTGCTAATTTGTTTTTGATTTTGGGTCATCTCATTTGGTTTGTCCTTCATCCTTATTTTTATCTCGTTGTTTTCTTTTGATTTCCGTCTTCTTTGATCTTCCATTGTCTTTATTTCCTATGAACCATTTTTTATCCTAACTTCCATGAGGGAAACCTTTTAACCTCTTCACCTCTCGTAACGCTTTATTTTCATTCTTTCGGCCTTCCCTCTTTCTCTTCCTCCTCCTTCTCCTCCTTTAGTGGAGCTCTCCAGTCTCTCTCTCTGTATGACCAACTCCAAGCTGGGCGAACCGTGTTTCTATGTGATTGGAACGACAGAAAATACGCGGTTGGTAGCTGTTCCTGTTAGTTCTTCATTTTACTGTTTCTCTACATCTCTCTCATATTTCTCTGTCGTCTAAATGTCTTTGACTGTGCTTGCTGGTCTCCCCTGTCGTATGTTGATAATACACCAAGAGTCACTGTGATGTCAACCTGTTTGTGATGCAGTAGAACAGGAGAGGTAATGGGTTAAAAAACAGCTGGTAATGTTTGTTGGTAATTCCAGATGTTGATAGATCAAAATAATTGTCATCGATTAAATGATTTGTTTAGAAAAAAATTAGTGTATATACTGTATATGGGACTGTCAACTGATTTAAAAATGTAATCAAATTAATGATATGATTATAAACCAACCAAATGAACATAATTAAGAGACATGTTATTTTGACAGACAATTAAATCATGCCAAACATGCTTTGCATTTTGAGGAGACGTCAGGCTTCAGTTGCTCCGATATGAGAGGAGAATTCCTTACAGAACAGAATGATGATAAGGGGACATGATTAAATGTGTTCATTTTATGATTACATTATATTATTTCTTTCAAAATGTCCATTCATTTTCAGTGCAGCTAGCTCCTTGATTAATGTGAGAAAACAAAATATGATGCAGAGATGTCTTTTGATGTCCCTCTCATTAGCATTTTTAATTGGTGCTTTCTATTTCATACCAGTTTATCTTAAATAATATCTTGGTAGTTTATCTTGGTAATTCAGTTCTGCCACAACTGAGACTGCAAATGGCTTCTCTATTGTTAATCATCTAATTTGGAACAATTAAAAATGAGTTTGTTCTTAATTATATTAATCAATTATATTAGTCATTTGCCTATTAAATTGTCCTGCTAAGATTCTGACTATTCCAAGGGTTTAGGAAGTGTTTAACTATATAAATATCAACAGTGTTAAACATACTTAAAATATGTTAACCTTGGTAGCCCTAATTATTTTATTTGCTTTTACTGTAATTGTAAACAGATTTAATTTTTTGTATGTTTGTATGTTTTTTTTTATTGTAGAGTATGAAATACTTTATTTCATATAATTAAGTGGTTCATTATTAGCATTTCAAACAGACACTTTTGCATTTCAAAGCTTCTTAGCTTTTAGTTTTAATGAGTTAGCCACAGCTTTAAATGTGAAGCACATGGCACATTCAGAATAACCTCAAAGTCCTCACTAAAGAGGGTGACAAAAGACCCGAGTGAAACACTTGAAGTACTTTGGAACATTGGTTGTGAATGGTTTTCAAAACTCTCTAAACCATAATTGACTTTCCATTTCACTTGAACTAGAGTTGCTGAAATATTTTCCCATATAAATCCTGTCTTGTTTTCTAAAATCTGTAACAAAAGCAGTGAGCTATTTGTAACAATGTTTGTGAATGTTTAAGAAATGTCATATGTATACATCGTTAAAAAAATAAATAAAATACAGCGAGTTACCAAGACAACAATTTTAATTTTCATTAAGTGTAACTTGATATAATAACTAAAATTAATACTGAAACAAAAGTTTATAAAAAATGGTATAGACATATTTTAAACAACAAAAACTATTAAAAATGACAAAAACACAACAACATTAATAAAACGTAAAAATTTCAATAAAACGAAAAATTTAAAACATTAGTAACTCTACTAGTATCTCAGTGATACTAAGGGGGCATGTACACAAGACTGTTTTCAACTTTTTTATGTGTTTTGGCTTTTCATTTACATGACAATGACAGGATCTGAAAAAACAAACTTTTGAAAACAGGGTTCAAAGTGCAAGTTTGACATCATATGTATTATGTGTTCAATCTATAGGTACAGAATGTGCGTAGTGTTTCTTTACAAAATTGACATCACCAACTACTGGCCTGGCATGAATAATACAGTGTTTTTAATCATATTTGGGAATCCATGTGAACAGAAATTGTTTTGACTATGTTGTCCTCTGTACTCTAAACTTTTCAAAAATGCAAAGTGAAGATGTTTCCATTTTTAGAACATTGTTGTTGTTTAAAAGTACCCTGAAATAACAATGGCCGCTATGAACTGTCATTGTATGAAAAATATCTATATGAAGATTCCTTAAAAATTCAGTTGTTTTCTATGGAAAAGCAAGTTTAGAATGTAATAATGTTGCATAATTGGGTGAGTAAATGATGGCTGTTCATTTTTGGATGAACTATCCCTTTAATATTCTCTCTTGTCTCTTAACCATCATCTGTCTCTAACGTTTCACTCTCAGACCGTGATCACGTCACAGCCGTCTCCTCCTCACCCCAGGCCCTGCAGTCGGGTTTGGCTACAGTGAGCCGTCGCCGAACTCAACAGGATGCCACATCCAGTGTTCAAAAACCAGGGAAGATCAACCGAGAGCGGAGAGAACAGAGGGAGAAGGGAAGTGACGGAGGAGACCGCGAGAGCCCTGACAGTCTCGAGGGCGGCAGTCAGGGCAGGGGGCGGAGGTCGAGAGACGAAAGGAGGAGACGAAGGCCACAGAGCTTGTCTAGAAACACAGGACATAGTGAGGAAAACGTGGAGGGAAGGGCTGAAAGAGTTGGGAAAGAGAAGGACAAAGGCAATGAGAGAAGAGAAGACAGGTCAAGACGGAGCAAGAGCGAGGAGAGGGTGAGACGGGTGGAGAGAAAGAGGGAAAAAGACGAAAGCAAGAACACACAAACTATCAATAACCAGAGACTTCCTGAGCCTAAACTGCAGTGGGAGGAAGACAACGAGGAGGACGAGTGGGAAAGAGAGACAGAACAAGAGTGGATGAGAGAGAGAGAAAGGCTGAAAGACAAAGAATGGGAGAGGGAGGAGAGAAAATCGCTTACTTCAGAGAGCGACAAGGAATGGGAAAGAGAAAAGGAGGCGAATAAGGAAGTGCTTGAGTGGGAGCTGAACAAAAAAACTGAACGAGGGATTCCAGACGAATTGAATGTAGAGCGACAAAGTGAAAACAGGGCAGAAATGAGTTTCCGTAATCGTCTGCCTTATTTGGGCGTCCGTGTGCTGCCTTCGGAAATTCAGCCCCGCCCACTTCAACCGTTATCTGGCCTTTCATTGGAGCAGCCAGTAGTAGGCTCTGAATTCAATCGAACCCCATTTGCTTTTCTTACATCTGCGCCGTCCGAATACGCAGAGTCCGAATCAGGAGCTAGTGTGTCTGAGTGTAGCATTTCTGCAGCCAGTATCTCTGGTCTCTCAATGTATCTGAATGAAAACCTTACCTTGAAAACCACACAAAGGGCCCCAGGGCCTCAACTTCCAGGCCCCTGGCTCAAACCCAGCCCACAGAGGCTCATTAGAGAGGTTGAGAAAGGTGGAGGAACAGAAACATGATTTATGTTGTAAAGGCAACAATCACTATTGCTTATACTTAGGTTTAAAGTCGCGGAAGTAGCGACAAACTTTCGTATTTGTGGCATATATCTGATTAAAATGGATTTTCGAAAAGAAAGAAATGTAGGACAGGGACTTGGTAAAATATGTTGGTAGTTGATTGGATGGAGGCAGATCTGAATATGAATTTGCAGCTGATTGTAAGAAAGGGGCGGAGCTTAAGTGGACGAAATCTAGTATACGTCACCAGTAGCAGCAATATTGACAATTAACCATTTTTTACCCGCAAAATTCCACCGAAATTTTGCTAATGTGACTGCGCCTAAAGAGTATGCTTTTTTTTACTTGGTCAGTAAGCAATTTACATAAATTTACATTTAGCAGGAACTTTTATCCAAGGTGACCTAAAAATGCCAAACAATATTCATAGTACACAGTGCCAAGTATGAAGTAGTTTAATGCAGAACCATCCAGAACATGCTTGGAAACACCATTGCAACCATCCACAGCAATGGAGCATCATGGTGGTGAGTTTTACACAGGGAAACATCACTTAGAGGACATTATTATATTTTTGTTTTTTCCTGCACATTTAAGCAGTTTTTGAACACTCCCACTCCAGCTTGCTCTCTCAAGTCTTTCTCTCTTCTTCTCTTCCACTTTGTCCTCCATAATGAAAGTCTGCAGTTATCAACACAACATCTTTTACTTTTGTGCCAGACTGTTTGTATAGTATGTCGACTTTGTATGCAACAAAACTATCATGTGAAGGGCCAAATATTCTCGTTATCTTTCATGCTAGCTTGAGTCCAGTTTTAACCTTTAGCACAGCCATTTTTCTCTTCAGTTCTGCTGTTTGAACTCTCTTTAATCTTATACAATGCTCCATAATACAAAATTTTGAGTGATAGTTTAGCCCAAGATTTAATGTTTGAAACATTAACTTTGAATAATTTGTGCAACATTATGAAATAAGTATTATCCAGATCTCTGCTAAACAGTTTTTGAAGGATGATTGCGTAAATTAGCATTCTTGTGAATGATGTGTGTACAGTTTGTAAACACTGTTAAGAGGAGATATATTTGTCACGCTCCCAAGAGTCCCCTGAAACCATTATGCTTTATTTTTATGCATTTGTTCATAAATTATTATATTCATTTTGTGCCCTCTGGGTCTCTGACATCTCAGGGAGCAGAAATATAAACTCTTAAGTTTTTGTTTTTTAGTACGCCCCCTATACACCCTCAAAGTGACCCTTACTGCTGCCTTGGTAGCGAAAGACTCCTCCTGTCTGCTGACCTTGGCATCTGTGACCTCAGAAATCTCAATTAAATTCAAATTAAATGTCACATGATTCATATTTTTAAAGGTTTTGCTTCTGACATGGTTGTATGCCATTTAAAGGGAATATAATATATTGACCCATAACACATTTCTTGCAGCAATCAAAGTATGATTAACACAAATACAAAGATTAACTCTCACTCCAACTTCTTCAAAGAGAAATTACAGTATATATGAATTTCAGATGAAGTATCTGTGAAAACTTTAAATGAGATTTAACTATGAAACATGAAGTGTAATTTATAGAAAGAACAAAGTAATACTTCATGAAATGGTTCTCGTACTGCTCTTGGCAGGTTTGACCTCGTCAACCAAAAAGGACAATGTTTGTACTGAAAATATAAACTGGAGTTTGCATTATTGAGTGGCGTTGTGCCAAGCCTGCAAAACCTCTTTAGTTTAATGCACCCAGGGTCTTTATCTTTATTGATGAAAGCTTGTTAGTAAACATGAGAGAGAGGTTGACTGTATTATGCTCTTGTTAACTGTAGCTTGTTAACTGTAGATATACTGATGATATTTTAGCATTTAACCTAAAAACTGTGCCTAATACTTATTTTCCTTGATTCATTTTTGGCTGATCATTAAGTTCCTAATCTGTCATCAAACCAAAACACCACCCAAAATGGTTCATTCTGTGTGTCATACTCTCTACCAGAATATACGCACTTATAAACTATGCATAAGATGTTGCCATTTTAACCCACAGCAGATAATCGGGACAGCAGTGTAATCTGTGCAGCCCCAGCAGGTCTGGGATCAGTTTGTTGAAGTCAGTCTGGTGTTGGTGGTCCACACATCTTTAAACATATCATAATATTCTTGAGCCAATGCCACACTAACAAGTTCAACACCTCTATATTTATTACATGTTCAGTCTGAAAGGTCCATTTTAGAGTCTCACATTGTCTTTATGTCCATACTAATGTCTATGGCCATATGTACCAATTGTAAATATAAATAAATATAAATATATTATAATTATATATACATATAATATGTTTCTATTATGATTATATTGTTATAATCCATTGTAACCCAAATGCAGGTAACAAATTATATAAGAGTTATAATAAAGATTAATGTATCTACCTGAGATCAGTTGTGGCCTGGAGTGCTTTTTCTTGCTTCCTTGCTTGTGTGTGTGTGTGTGTGTGTGTGTGTGCGCGCGCAGTGCTACTACATGCGGATGTAATTTCTGCCCTGAGCAGTAGATGACAGCAAAGCCTATTGAAAAGTACTTCATATCAAGAATATAGAAATAACAGAATGGTATTAACTCGACTTTAGTATTTGAGATTTTGTATTTGAGAACCAAAAACAACAACTGCTACTATTAATGCTGATAATGATAATAATTATTATTTTATTATGTATATTATGAATAAATAATAGAATATTAGATACTTATAGTTCGTTTTAATGTCAGTTTTGAAATCAAAATCATTTTTCAGTTAATACTGTAATAATACTCTAATACTGTACAATACTGATAATATGATTATGATCATATGAATGTACATGTACAATATGATTATTACAGTTCTGTTCATTATCAACAAAATTTGTTTTATGATTAGATTCTAAATGGTCTGTGAAAAGTGCAATTAACTAATTGCTGCATGTTGGCATCACTTTGTACTTAAACTGAAGGTAACAGAAAATTACGTTTTTAATTTTAGAGGTTTATAATCTTTTACATTCCACATTTCCCAGAACACCATTACAATTATTTATTTATTTTGTATTATTAATTCCTGCTGGAAAATCCAGTTTAAGATTTGTTTTAGCTGGTCTAAGCTGGTAGACCATGTGGAGAAACTGTTTTTCTCAACAGTTTCTCCTGAGAAACTGTTAGCTGAACCAACTAATGACTATCTTAGACCAGTTAGAAACCAGCTATGAAAAAAAAACAGCTGCCAGTTTTCCAACAATTGATTTTGTGAAATTGAAAATAACGTAAAATCACTTTCCTAATATTAATTTGACAATAACCGTTGTAACTGTGGTGTTTTGGCAGAGATGTTGTAACCATGGTAATTTTTGTAAGGCTACTGAAATCATTTGCATATGTAATATGTTTGTGTGATTCGAGCTTCATGTGTTGAAATCTCGCTCTCGTGTACTGATCTTGCGTGGGTTGACTGAGTGGCGAGCGCAGGAAAGACTAGTTTAACGCTTCTCTGGCCGCCAGTGAGTGTCTGTCTATCGGATCTGTCCGGTGAAAACCGCGCTCACGAACCTGAGCCGCCGCGAGATCCTCTCCAAACCTTCAGCACGCCTCCAGCGACCAGCCGCCGCTCATTTCGGGAAATACAGAAGAGCGCCAACTTTACAGCAGGTGCTCCAGCTCTTAGATTTACGCCTGGGAAAAGTCTGTTGTATGAGAGAAAAGACAAATGCCGTCTTAAGCGACGTTGTTATTCAAACTCGACTGACGTCGAGATTAAAACAAACAAACAGACGAGCAAATTGTACGAAGAAATCGGAGAGCTCGAGATAAACTGAACGCTACCCATGAAAATGGGTTGAAGAAAAGAAAACACCGATGAAGAGAGGTGTAAGTGGGATTTTTTAATCATGTGGAGCCATATTTTTACATTTTATTTTGAATATATAAATTACTGACACTATATTGAAGAAGAAGAGAAGCGCGCTCAGCGCGTGCAAATGTGTCATAGACTTTTAATGTTTAAATCGCAAATGGCTCTTCTGCTGCCTGTATGAAGGCAGTTTGGACATTACATTTGTGGTTCAGTTTTACGAAATGTAACTTTTCTGTTGATGAAGAAAGCTCTTTCTTCACGTTATTTTTACAGTATGTTGTCTATCTCAAGCTATACAGATCTTAGTGGATTTCAGGGATTAGATGTATATCTTTTTGCTGCTCTTCCCCATTTTCCACTGTGCTACCTCAGCATGTAATCAGCGTGCAATCCATGACTGGTTTGTGGAAGCAGTGATCTGTAGATGTTATTTCTGACTGTAATATAGGCATTTATTTACTTATTCACTTATGGTTTCATGTCGTCACATGGAAAAGCTATAAACCGATGCCCAGAACTGTCCATGTCTTTTTTTCTTTATACATCATCTTTCTTCACTAACTTGTTGAAGTACAATCACTGCAGCTGGGAGGATGCAAATTATTGACCTTTAAACTCCTTTACTGAGAGCTGCAGTTACCACCTATACTTTTTTAAGGATTCATGGATGAACATTAAGATGCAGTAGATGCATATAACATTGGTGCTTTAAATGTTCTTTGCTGGTGTTTTTCAGTTGTTGAGACTCAAGTTGCAATATATAGGTTAAAAGACATTTCCATCAAGTTTCTACCTTCAGGCTCCTTTGTTTTATCTCCCCCCCACTGAACTTATCAGGTGGGGGGGGGGGGAGGGGTAAGGCCCAAACCATGGAGTCCAACCCAGACAGCCCGAGTCGGGCTGTGGAGTATCTTCTGGAGCTCAATAACATCATCGAGAACCAGGCCAAACTTCTAGACACGCAGCGTAAACGCATCGAGGAGCTCGAAACGCAGCTAGACCGGGTCAACCAGGAGAACCAGGACCTGCGGCAGAACCGAAACCCGGGGACCGAGAACTCGACGCAGAACCACAACTACAACCAGAGCTCTAAGCCCAGCCAGCCATCGTCACTACCAAACCACAATGCTGGAGGTGTCCATCAGAATAGCAGCAGTAATACACCCTCATCTACGGTGCCTGGTCCAGCTCGACGGACTCACACCAGACTGACCCGAGGCCTGTCATGTGGGTCAGCCCCTGTGGAGAAAGAGAGAGGCCGACTGGAGCGAAATGACAGCTCTGGGATCAACAACACCTCGACTCTACGGAAACAGTAAGTGCCTCATTCCCTTAGTTAAACCTCGTCAGCGTGGATCCAGGTTATTGGATGTTCGGGGCGGGCCTTTTGTGCAATATATGGTATTTGTGCTGTATTTGTTGTGTGAGGAGCGGTTTAGGTTGAATGTTGATATGAAGTACCAAGCCTGGTCAACAAAAAAGTGTGTGACAGAGATGACAGCTGAAGACTCACAAAGTGATTTTGAGAATTTCTGAGACTTTTTTTAAACTTGAAACTTGACTTGGATTCCAGCAATTATATATATATATATATATTATTTGATATAATATTGAAATCTACAATCTTTTTTTCAATGAGTATTATATTATATAATATAGTATATCATAAGGTTACCTCAGTTGCCTGTTTATTTACTATGGGGGACCTTTTAGAGACATTTTATATTAAAGACATTTTTATATTAAACAGACACTTACAAAAAGAAAAACATGCCTAAAATTGTTCAGTGTTTTTATTGCTTGTAAATAATAATAATAATAATAAATAAATTGTATTAATAATAATAAATGAATATAAATAGTAATAATAAAGTAGTAGGCTAGTAGTAGTATTATCATTATTGTTAATATTGTTGTTGTTGTTATTATTATAATGCATAATATTAAAGTGCACAGTAATTTAAAAGGATTTAAAAACGTATCCTGAAACAGAAAAATAATTAGACTTAGGGCCAGATTTACTAACAGCTTTTGCCAGCGCAAACCATCTTTTGCAGTTAAAATAGTACTGTCAGGATTTACTAAAGATGCACATTGAAGAATTAGCGCTGAAAAGGTGTGGACACGGTTATTTTTGCGCCTGACCTTATTGAATATGCATTTGTAGAAGTTTCCCTTTCAGACGCAAAATGTATTTGAGGAGAGTGTTAAAATGAATCACGCAGTGCAATTTACTAACAGCTGCACACGTCAAATTACTGGTATTTGCGCCATTATTTAATGCCCAAAAAAAGCATGTCTTAAAGCATGCGGTAATTTGCTCTGCTCTTAGTAGATTGTGCTGGTCAGTATGGAAATGATCTGGCTGCGTCTGTGTTCTTTAATGTGCGCATTGTTAGTAAATCACACGCAGAATTTCCCCTCCCATCGGCGCTTTTATGGAATTGCGTTCTAACACTAATTTGCCCTGTTTAGTAAATCTGGCCCTAGTGATAAACTTGACACTTGTTAATTTGAGACTTGGATTCAATGTCAGAAGAACGCATTTCTTATATTTTTGATCGGTTTGGGGTTTATTTTGGCTGTATGGGTGCAGTTTGAATAGCACATTGTAAAACACTTCTTATAGAGATGAGACCTACATTTTTGTGTGAAGGAAGATGCTCTGTGTATGCTATGTGTTTGGCAAATCCCAAACTGTGTTTGGGTCTTTGGAATTCAATTGAAATACCCACTTCTCTCATTATTTTGTTTGCCTATTTTCTTCAAGCTTTATGTTTACTTGTTTTTTCGTTTCTAAATAAGCAAACACACGGAGTTTGTTGTTGGTGGGTGAAAGGTTAACTATTCTGCAGATGTTTTTGCTGCATCCTTGGGTGATCCAGGCGTCAACAAAAGCAGCAGCTACAGAGCGTCAGACTCAGCGTGTTTCTTCCTCTCTGCCTCATTGAGCTCAACCCGCTACCCAACTCATATAATTATGTTTGCTTGCTCATCGCTGGCAGCTGCACAACCCCTTTATTCTGTACTCAAGTGTCTCAGATCTGTTCATCTTCTGCCTCGTTCATCCTTGCTTGTCTGAAATTATTGACTAGAACAATCCATCACTCTCCTTTCACAATGTTGAATCATCGTGTTCAGAAAAGCCAAAATAAAACTAAAATAAACCAGGCTGATTGGGGGAACACAGGTTTAGTGTTTCTCACAAGCATTCAGTGTGATGTTCAAAGTTCAGATTTGGCACTTTAATTCACATCAAATGCAGTTTCTAAGCATTTCTATAGGGTTGCAGATGCCCTTGAACACTGAAAAGAAAGTTTTTTTTTTCCCAGCAAGAATTTCCCAGCTCACTCATATCTACCTTTTGGCATAGGGGAATGCATGGCATAAGATGAAACACCAGAATTGATTGACGGTCTAACTCATTTTGCTGAAAATTAAATTTTGAACAGTTTGTGTGTAACGGACGGAACACAGGAAGCGTGCGGATCCATCTGCAAGGCTTTATTAATTGAGACGTGGTCAAAAACAGGCATAGGTCAGACAATGGCAAACAGCTCTAAGCTCAGATCGTAGAGGTTGATTAAGGCCATCACAAAAACTATCAAAAGACAGTCCGGCAAATCTGAACAGTGCGTGATTGCTAAAAATTCTCTAATATAGTTCTGTGTCTGTTTACAAAAAAACAATTCACTGATTCATTTGTTTCATAACTCAAAATCATTCCCAGAAGTCCCTAAGTGGCTTTACACTTTTCTTTTAATTTTTTATAGAAAAACACATTTAAAGTTATAAAACTGGTGTTTTTCCCTGATGTTTTTTGTGTTTTTATGGCTCCACCCCATTAAACAAAGTAATCCCCTACAAATTGTTCATACCCTTTCAATTCAGTAAAAAAAAAAACTGTTTTTACTCAGAAATGATTAGTAAATTTCACAATTAATTGCAAAGAAACAGCTAGTATCATTGAATTAAACATAACTTTTTAAAGTACAAACACTAAAATAGTAATAATCTTTACCTTAATCAATCTTAATCAGTAATCTTTGATACAAATATTATTGTATTTTGTAGGATTTACATTCAAACTATTTTTACTCAGAAATTACCTAATACATTTCACAAATAATTATATTCCTAAGAAACGACAAGTAACACATGAAATAAAATGTGAAATATTTAAGAAGAAAGACTAAAATAGTATTTTCTTGTAATGTAATATCTGTTACTGAAGTTGTTATTACAACTTGGCAAGATCTTTTTACAGTGCAAAGGATTAATTTCACAAACCAGAAGTGAATGCTAATGCTTGATGGGTTGTAATAAATGTAATCAGCACTTATTATTTGGTGGATTTCTAAACTTTCAACACTTTTAACACATTTCATGTGTTAATTTAAAATCAGTATAGGCATACCTGTATTTATTCCATTTTTTTGAAAACCAAGAAGCATTTGTTAGCAGATTCTCAGTTGGAGAATTCATTTGTTTGGTCTTACAGGCAAATGGTAATCATTGACTGGCTTCCCTCTCTCTCTCTCTCTCTCTCTCTGCATCCTCCTCCTCCTCTTCGCCTCCTCCCATGGGGCCGTTAGTCATTAGTAAGGAACACATATCAGTTATTTATGTGGGTGTAAGACTGTGCTGATTGGCTGGGCAGTTTGTTCCAGTACTACAGAGATCATAGCGGAGGCAGCAAATGAAACGCTTCCATTTTTGTCTAGATTTATTTGAGATCCTCTAATTAGCTCCTTCACTATGATTTTAATTATGCTTGTGCTCCAGCGTTTAGCACAATGACCTCAGATTTATGACCTCATTGGCACTTTCAAACCTGTTATAATGGCCGTGCCGACTAAAGGTTTCCTTAATTTTAGGATGGTACTGCACAATATTGTAAAAACAGATACAGATAAATATGTAACGTCTTTTTGTATCTAGATTTTAGTAGGTTATCAACATGTGTTTAGAAAGTATCACCAAGAGCAATTTTAGGGTTGATAGGAAGCTGTTATGGTAACACTTTATTTTAAGGATCAATTCTCACTATATTTGCTTATTAACATGCATATTACTACTAGCATATTTATTAGTACTATTAGTAGCTGTTTATTAGTACTTACAAAACACATATTAATTCCTTTTAAATATTGCTTTATTTTTATTTCAGTTTTAGTTTTAATTTTAATAATTTTGGTACTTTGGTTCAAAACATGTCATAATTTGCTCACTCTCATGTCTGCATGTCTATCCCTTTTTTTGGAACATAACAGGAGAAATTTTAAAGAATTGTACTGGTGACTCTTTTTTATACAGCTATAATGAACTTTGAGAATTTAAGCTTCACAAAGAATGAAGAAAAGCATACAATATCATAAAATAATCAAAAGTGGTCCATTTGACTGGTGCATTATTTTCCAAGTCTTCTAAAGATAGCTTTTTGTGACAAACAGAATGACATTTAAGCAATTTATTCACATAATCATCCCCTTCAGTGTGCTGTTAACTCCTGCGCCCTGTTCCTGAAATATGGTGCACTAGTCAAACCAAGATCTACTTTAACACATAAGCTTTTTTTTTTTTTAGCTTGACAGCCTCAGTTTTTGTTCACTTTCATTTAAAAAAGAAACAGTTTTTCCCCTCCCCATAAGAGTGTCATACAGTTTTGAAGGGTGAGAAAATGATGACATACTATTCATTTTTAGGTGAATTGTCTTTTTAATGCATTTTTCCTCAACTCCAGTCTATTGAGTTATTTTTAAGAGCACTTTTCCACCATTAAGGAGTCTTCATTTTCTTTCCCAAAGCATGAAGCATGTTATTCCTGACATCATTCTGCTCTCTGAATCTTGTCTCATCCCCTTTTCACACTCATCTCTCACAATCCCAGCATCCTCTTTTCACTGCTTCTGGTCAGAGATCATTCTTTATTCATATCTTCTCTCCACTTTTTCCCCTTCCGTGCTCTTTCTCCCTCACTCTCTTTCTTTTGATTCGGTTTCTTCATTTTTGAGTTATGAGCTTTTTTTTAAACTCTTCTCTCCTCATGTTTTTAGGTGTCTCTCTCTCTTTTCATGTGTGCCGCCCTCTCCACCCTCTCTGTGGCCAACAGATGGAGAATCAGTGTGTGTGTTCCACCGTTTCTCTTTTAGAGTCGAACATGCTGAGAGAAGGTCTTTCTCTCTCACTCTCCGCACTCCTCCATTTTAGCGCGCTCATCTCCATGTAGTCTTACAGTAAATGCTGTATTTGATCATCTCTCCATCTTTCCGTTGTCATCTGACTCTCTCTATATCTGCATTAGGTCAGGGTTGTCCAGCAGGTGTTAATTATTGACCCATGTTGTGCTTTTGGAGTGCTTCTGATGGCTCAGACTGTGTGCCAGCCGTCTGAACCTCTCTGCTACAGCTGACCTCTGCTGTTTGTGTCCTTTGGAATAGATTTGAGCATTTGCAGTTTGACAACATGAAAATAAATTTGACCCTTTTTACTCTTGTTGTAGATTATTCATCATCTTTGTTTTCATAATTATTTATCAACTTTCTCAACCTTTGAAATGGCGTTTCTGCTGGCATAAACAACAAGAGGGGAAAAGTAATGTGATCTAATGATATCATTAGGAATCGGTCACAACGGTTGACTAGTCTTTAAATGTGTCGCCTTTAAAGCATTGCTGCTACAGCCACACACACTCAGAATACATTTTCATTTGACTGTCCATGTTCAGTACTAGCAGGCTGATCCATATTCAGTGAATATGATGAGAAATCTACCTCTATATGTGTGTGGTTTTAATACTTTATCTGATTCCTGAGCTTTTCCCCTTAAAATGCTTGTGCTGTAGAGTTCACTTTTTCAGGGGCCTTGCTTCCGGAAGTATTTCCCATTCATGTCTCCTATAGGTATTTAAAAAAAGTCAAAGAGTTAAAGAGGTATAAGGTGAATCAAACATTACAAATTCTAATTTGAAGCAAAAATGTATTTGAAAGTCAGAGAGAAGCATAAAAGTGCAAGACTATGTACTTAACGACTTATAGGAAGGAAAGAACCACAAACCATTGCGAATGAGTACAAGCATTGAGAATGAGAATCAAAATAAATATGACGGATAAATATACAACTATTTAAAGATGTTGATTAGGTTTATAGAAATAGCAGATTTTATGTTTATTGCAAAATATACATGTACACACAAACATATGAGTAGTTTGAGAGCGTAGGAAGATTCTGTTACGTCATTTGCTGTGTTTCGTGGGAGTGGGCAGGGAATTCTGTTGCAATGATGCATATACCATTGACTAACTTCCTCTGAGCTGAAAGTAGGCCTGTCGCAATAATCAGTATTGCGCAATATATGTACATGACCTCAATAATTTTCGGTGACGCAATATATCACCCATTATATTTACTTAAATTAATGTCACCATGTTTTTTACATTCCACTTGCGCCCGTGGCTTTTGCAGCTTCTCATACATAACATGGTGTAGTCATGAGGTGCTAGTTCAAATTTAGAGCACTTTTCCACCATTAAGGAGTCTTCATTTTCTTTCCCAAAGCATGAAGCATGTTATTCCTGACATCATTCTGCTCTCTGAATCTTGTCTCATCCCCTTTTCACACTCATCTCTCACAATCCCAGCATCCTCTTTTCACTGCTTCTGGTCAGAGATCATTCTTTATTCATATCTTCTCTCCACTTTTTCCCCTTCCGTGCTCTTTCTCCCTCACTCTCTTTCTTTTGATTCGGTTTCTTCATTTTTGAGTTATGAGCTTTTTTTTAAACTCTTCTCTCCTCATGTTTTTAGGTGTCTCTCTCTCTTTTCATGTGTGCCGCCCTCTCCACCCTCTCTGTGGCCAACAGATGGAGAATCAGTGTGTGTGTTCCACCGTTTCTCTTTTAGAGTCGAACATGCTGAGAAAAGGTCTTTCTCTCTCACTCTCCGCGCTCCTCCATTTTAGCTCGCTCATCTCCATGTAGTCTTACAGTAAATGCTGTATTTGATCATCTCTCCATCTTTCCGTTGTCATCTGACTCTCTCTATATCTGCATTAGGTCAGGGTTGTCCAGCAGGTGTTAATTATTGACCCATGTTGTGCTTTTGGAGTGCTTCTGATGGCTCAGACTGTGTGCCAGCCGTCTGAACCTCTCTGCTACAGCTGACCTCTGCTGTTTGTGTCCTTTGGAATAGATTTGAGCATTTGCAGTTTGACAACATGAAAATAAATTTGACCCTTTTTACTCTTGTTGTAGATTATTCATCATCTTTGTTTTCATAATTATTTATCAACTTTCTCAACCTTTGAAATGGCGTTTCTGCTGGCATAAACAACAAGAGGGGAAAAGTAATGTGATCTAATGATATCATTAGGAATCGGTCACAACGGTTGACTAGTCTTTAAATGTGTCGCCTTTAAAGCATTGCTGCTACAGCCACACACACTCAGAATACATTTTCATTTGACTGTCCATGTTCAGTACTAGCAGGCTGATCCATATTCAGTGAATATGATGAGAAATCTACCTCTATATGTGTGTGGTTTTAATACTTTATCTGATTCCTGAGCTTTTCCCCTTAAAATGCTTGTGCTGTAGAGTTCACTTTTTCAGGGGCCTTGCTTCCGGAAGTATTTCCCATTCATGTCTCCTATAGGTATTTAAAAAAAGTCAAAGAGTTAAAGAGGTATAAGGTGAATCAAACATTACAAATTCTAATTTGAAGCAAAAATGTATTTGAAAGTCAGAGAGAAGCATAAAAGTGCAAGACTATGTACTTAACGACTTATAGGAAGGAAAGAACCACAAACCATTGCGAATGAGTACAAGCATTGAGAATGAGAATCAAAATAAATATGACGGATAAATATACAACTATTTAAAGATGTTGATTAGGTTTATAGAAATAGCAGATTTTATGTTTATTGCAAAATATACATGTACACACAAACATATGAGTAGTTTGAGAGCGTAGGAAGATTCTGTTACGTCATTTGCTGTGTTTCGTGGGAGTGGGCAGGGAATTCTGTTGCAATGATGCATATACCATTGACTAACTTCCTCTGAGCTGAAAGTAGGCCTGTCGCAATAATCAGTATTGCGCAATATATGTACATGACCTCAATAATTTTCGGTGACGCAATATATCACCCATTATATTTACTTAAATTAATGTCACCATGTTTTTTACATTCCACTTGCGCCCGTGGCTTTTGCAGCTTCTCATACATAACATGGTGTAGTCATGAGGTGCTAGTTCAAATTTAAAAAAATTATTCTACTAAAAAAGTTTCATTTGCAGATATGGCCTTGTTTAGGGATCTGTGCCTTTGTGTATACGGAAGTCTGACTGCTAAGTAGTGATTGTGTTTTTCAGCAATAGTGTGCACAATTAATTTTCAGAGAAAAGAAGGTCAGGGAAAAATCTGTTGATGGAAAAATCTCCATACGAGTTCTTTGTGCATTTTTCTTTTTTTGTACTTTGCACATTTTGTTATAAAATGTTTATTTACTATTTATTCAAGTTTTTTAAGGCTCAACTGAACTCAACTGTTGCTCTCTGTTGTATTGAATGCACCGTTGTTGTTTTTTTCAGAATTGAGGTAATCAAACTAGGTCCACCGGAGTGTCATGGTTTCTTTTCATTTTCTTTGTATTTGGGGCTTCCCCTCCTCATGCTGGCTTCCATTCAGGTGTCTGAATGTGTCGAATTTGCATGTACAATGTTAGGTTCCACTTTATATTAGATTGCTTTAACTACTAAATATGAATTGTTTAGTACAATTTGTGCTCATTTAGAACTTTTACTGCTATAAAGGTGGAATACAGGTAAGGTTATGAGCAGGTTTCCTGGTATGGTTATGTTTAACAGTGGGTTACGGGGTAGAGGGAGGGTCAGCACTGTAATTATAGATGTAATTACAGAAATGAAAGATAAAATAACATGCAGTTTAAAAAAAAAATATTAGTTTGATGTAAAAATGTGTATGTACATAAGTATATAAGTGCATTGTATCAAATGATTAATTTAAATATTATCCTGGTAACACTTTATTTTAAGGTGTCCTTGTTACAAGTTACATGTACGTACTATAGTAATAACAATAAATTATGCATAATTGCATGCAAGTAACCCTAAGCCAAACCCTAATCCTAACCCTAATCATATAGTAAGTACATGTAGTTAATTAATACTCAGTACTTAAATGTATAATTACACTGTAACAAGGACACCTTAAAATAAAGTGTAATCATTATTTTATACAGTATATAATAATTTTATAGTAAAGATATGTGGGTCCCAGTGTTAAACATGTCTGTAATCATGTATAATCACGTGTCTCCATTGCAAGTGTCTTACGCTGGGTATTGCTTTGACCTCCACCTAAAAAATTGTACAGGATTACAAAAAAAAAAAAAGAAACAAAAAAAGAACATAAGTATTTAAAATAGTAAAGTACGGTAAATACAATTACATGTAATTATAGTTCAAGTACATTTCAAACATTTCTTTTTGCTTTGCATGTTTATTACTTTTTACTTGTGTGAAAATCACTAATTTATGTGCAGAGCTGGACCTGCCAGTTCAAAGCCAGACATTGCATAAATAATGGAAATCATCACTAAATCATTGGCTGCTCTTTAAAAGGTTAACTGCAAACAGGGTCAGGGTCATGTTGAAGTTGTTTGAACTTTAAGAGCCATGTTAACGCATGTTAAAGCATGCAGTGTGACACTCTGGGTGACGCTTCACTGCATGTAGTTCAGTGCACTGGGAAATGTTGATATGAGGGCCTTTACACAACTCAAATTTGCTATTGGAAACAGAAGGAGAGCTTCAAGTTGCAGCAAATCTAGTCATTAGTGTTAATTTATTAAGATCATGTTTTAGTGTTATTTAATTAATTTGTTTAAATATAGCTTCTGAGTCACATGATCACACATTAAATTGATTCTCTAAACAGAGAGGACCATGTTTTATGCCTATCACAGTGCTTCAGGTGTATAAATAGCTGATTATCTCACGTTTACTGCCAGTTCTTAATGCCAGCTTCCTATTCAGTCCAACCTCCCAACGCCTGTTCATTATTCAGCAACAAACCACCTTGATGAGCGACAGTGTGAACTACCATGGATTGCAGTGCTAAGCCAATCATAACAGAGATTATTTAAATAGAGAGTTACACTTTATTTTAATTTCCTTGTGTGTTATACATTTAGGTTTTGAGTAATATTACATGCATTTGCTATAAGGTTAGCAATAGCATTAGGTAATGGTTCTAGGGTTAGTTGCATGCTATTATTTATAATTTACTGTTAATACTATATTAATGTGCAATAAGGGCACTGTCAAATAAAGTTTATCCACTTAGAGTAATATTGTTGCAGAAGTAAAAGCAGTTTTAGTTCTGAGGATCAGATGGTGGAAAATGGACAAAACTATATGACTAAAAAACAATGTTTTGGTGCAAGAAACCATGACTGCGTGTAATTTGTGATCATCCCATAATGCGGCATATGGAGCATTTCTGTTTGACATTTTGAATGCATTATATTTACTCTCAGGGAGGGTTTCGCACCACAGGTAACTCATCACAGCTGGTGTGGATATTTAGTTTTACTCTGCATTTAAGCTAACATTATTTCATTTAATACCACATGAACACTAGCTCGAATGATTATCACCTTTTTTCTCTTGAACATGTGCTATTAATGGCAACCAATTTTCATTTCACATTTATATTGTACTGTGTAATTCAGCTTGATTCTGCATATGGGTAGTTATAATGTGTCCATGGACTTTATTTTTAAATGCATTTATCTTGTGTCTTGTCACAGTGTCTTTGTACCAGCTTTTTTTCTTCACTGGTCCATAAATGTTCACAAATGAATTTTCAGAAGAAAAAATACTTCATGTGTCTTCTCAATATGGGTTCATAAAACATGCATGCATGCTAATTTAAAAATAATTAGCAAAATTCTGTTGAAAATAATATGTCACACCACAGGACATGTCAACTTCTCAAAAGTATGTGAAGTCAACTGGCATTGTGCAGTAAATGGAAAGAATGAGTGCAAGAAGTAAAAGTGTGTTTGACTCATATGTATGTCAGACATCCTGTCAGGGAGTCCGACACACGCAGTATGAGAGTGTTTAATTAGTGTGACCTGCGTGTAATTACAATGAGCCAAGGGTGTTAATTACCGCTGTGATCTTTATTTATGTAACATTTGTGTGCTTGATATGAAATTCAGCTAAACGTTCATTTATTTTGACCTATCAAGTATGGGCAAACAAGACTTTTATTTTATCTATTGAACTGTTATTTATATTTATGCATTTAGCAGATGCTTTTATCCAAAATGACTTACCCTAAGGAGGCAGTAGCATGAGAAGTGTTCAAAATATGGTACATTTTTGTCTCCTTTATTGTCCGACAGGCAAAAATCTATTAGAAAAGTTATAACACACCTCACAAGCAGTGTTGGGCAGTAACGCATTACATAGTAACGCGTTACTGTAATTAGATTACTTTTTTAGTAACAGAGTAATTTAACGCGTTATAATTTTCAAAATAGTAATTAGAGTATAGTTACAAGCCGAGGTCTCTATACGTTACTGCCACGTTACATTGCTGACTGAATGCAGTGATTTATAATCTAGAGATTGTAAAAAGGATGTAGCACACGCACTGTCGAGTCCAGTGCCAGTGGATTAGAGACCTGCTCCCGCGAGACCCGACGCAACAGAGCACGGCGCGGGACAAGATGGGCGAGTGCTGGTGCGAGCGGGTAGACACTCGTGTGTGTGCGGGATGCGGGAGAATAAAATGATTCACGGGACTCC